AGTGCCTTTGGAAAACTCCATAAAAGAGTTTGGCGAAATAAACACTTGAAGAAAAGTACCAAGATCAGTGTTTACAAAGCCATAGTGTTGTCTACTCTCTTATATGGGTCTGAATCTTGGGTCATCTACCGCCACCACCTGTGACTCCTAGAACGCTTCCATCAACGCTGCCTCCGTACAATCCTAAACATCCACTGGTCAGATTATGTGACCAACACATCTGTTCTAGAGCAAGCAGCTGTCACAAGTATTGAGGCCATGTTGCTGAGAACACAGCTGCGCTGGTCAGGGCACATCTCCAGGATGAAAGATCACCGCCTCCCTAAGATCTTGCTTTATGGTGAACTTGCCACTGGCTGCCGCATGAGAGGAGCCCCAAAGAGAAGATACAAGGACTCCCTGAAACAACATCTCAGCCTTGGCCATATTGATCAACATAACTGGTCTACTCTGGCCTCCAGCTGGGAGGTCTGGAGACACACCATCTATAACGCTGCTGATGCCTTTGAGAATGCAGCAGGATCACCCTTGAGGAGAAAAGGCAACGCAGAAAGAATCGTGCCTTGCAGAATTTACCACCTAAGGAGTCTTTCTGCTGTGCCTTTTGCAACCGGACATGTCTATCTCATATTGGCCTTTTTAGCCACCAGCGCGCTTGTGTCAAACGTGGGTAGAGACCTTTCCCAAATCTTCGTCCGCGAAGCCTGGCCATGATGATGACGATACATTGATTTAACAGCTACACATGCATCTGTTTTGTCTGTGCCCATACAAACGCTATGCCAAGGCAGCTGTTCACAGTCTGGCTGCTGCAGGTGCCAATGTGTGGATTTGCTTTGCCACCAGCAGACTGACCTCTTGTGAGGAAAAATGGGCACTTATATTTCAATCCCAGGAAACACTGTCTTTGTTTCCTTTTCGGCAGTTTCCCCTGTGGGCAGGGCAGTCATAGGATGATCAGCCACTACAGATGGCATCAATCTATGAAACAGTGACAACGTCCAGGCAACCAGCTAATGCACCAGGGTAGTGGTTTCCCAGCATCTAAAACTGTGGTAAAGATAAGAACACGCATCAGGACAGACACCACATGGGGTGGCAGTTCCAGGCACGCCCACTAGGATTTGCCAGCTCAGTTTATCCTGCGTCAGGGTAGTGTACAGCACAGCTCATTGCAGATTGTCCCGAGCTGGGTGCAATCCAATATACGTCTGTGCCCTCCCATGTGTCAGCTTATTAAAGGTTTCTCAAAGTTGTCTCTGGAAAACAGCCTCCTGTGGTTAGGACCACTGAAGGCACTCAAAACACTTGGTCTGTTGCCATGAGCAGGTTGAAGTGATGATGCTGCATTTTCGGGCGTGTTTCTGGGTGAGAGGATCCAAACGAGGTCTGCCACGCAGGGATGAGTAGGGCCTGTACTGACTCTGTGATGTACTTTCAGTCCAATGGCTGCTATATTGCAGTGGCCTGGTCCTAGAAACATCTCAGTGGGTTCATGCAGCACATGGTGCTGAGGAAGGGCCAAGGTCTTCCAGCAGCCTCACAGGTCCTGTTGCCCTCAAGAAGTTTTCCCACAAGGCCGACCATAACTGCTCTATGCTGGGCATCACCCCACTGGAACTGAAGTACACCTTCTATTGTCCTGGTGGGGTTGACAGAAAGGACACCCGAGGGTGCCCTGATGATGTCAACTACTTGCTCTTTAGCACCTCCGGGCATCAGAGTTGCCACAGGCCAGAGCAGTGCCAAGGCAGTAACGAGGCTGTGCCTGGAGCACTGTTGGTTGATGGTGGGCCAGGGTGGGGTGAAAGGGGTGCAGACAGGCAAAATGTGGTCAAAAGCCACAGAAGGTGAGAGGAAGAAGTTGTGGCTATGTGGACTTGCACCTCTGTGGGGTTCTTCCCACCCTGGGAGGACCCAACTCCTAAGGATCCCAGTATTTCCATGAAGCCCCAGCACCTCCCTATCAGCAGTTCCCACTATCCACCCAGACCTGCTGTTTTTCTGTGTGGAATGGGGCAACAGAGGGCCTGGTGACGGGGGTCCCCATCAGGACAGGCCTGTAGGACACAAAGACAGCAACATGGAGCAAAGGATGGGAGGGAAGATTAGGAGTTAAGGGCTGGGTGATGGACAGGTAGCTGTGTCCTGTGGGAAAGAAGAGTGTGGGCCATGGGAGTAGGAGTGGGAGGGTCGTTGCCACACCTTGCACAAATTACCTGCAAAGCCGTGAATGTGGCTATGAGTGTTACAGAATCACAGCAAGATTGAAGTTGGGAAGTATCTCAGGAGATCATCTGGTCCCTCCTGCCTGCTTGAGCAGTTGCCCAAGACCATGTCCAGACAGCTACAGAATATCTCAAAGCATGGAGATGCCACAAACTCAGTCACCATCACAGTAAAAATGTGCCTCCTGATGTTCAGAAGGAGCATCCTGTGTTTCAGCTGGGGTGAATTGCCCTCTGATCTGTAAGTAAGCATCACTGGAAAGAGCTTGGCCCCGTCTTCTTTGCATTCCCTCTTCACGTGTTTCTATACAGAAATAAAGCTTTCCCTTCTCCAGGGTAAGCAGTCTTGACTGTCCCTGACCTGCCTGTCTCCTGGTCCCCAGGGCAGGGGATGGGGGCGATGCCAGGGCGGGCCGGGAGTGCGGGGCAGGAGGAGGGTCCTGGAGGGGATGCTGCGGGCCGATAGCCCGTCCCTTGGCTGGGGCCGGGGATGGGGCCGCCCCAGCTGCACGGGGCCGAGGCGCCGACACCTTCTGAAGGGCACATGGGGCGAGAAAGCGGGACAGCGCTGGAGCCGCGCTGGGAGCCCCGGGACAGGAGCCTTCATCTCTCGAGGCGCTGCTCCTCCGCCTACGCTGCTGCCCGCGTCCCTCGCCGCGCCCCCCTTCTCCCGAGTTCCCCCTTCTCGTGTCCCGGGGGGGGGCCGGGGCGGGTCTGCGGGGTCGGGCAGAGGCGCCGGCGCTGCCCCGGCGAGGCGGGGCCGGGCAGGAGCGGCCCGAGCGCGGCTCCGCTCGGCTCGGGGGCGGCTCCCGCGGAGCCCTCGGCCGCGGCCGGGCACGATGTCGGCCGGGCTGGGGCCGTGGCTGCTGGGCTTGGCCTTGGCCTTGGAGCCGGCAGGTGAGAGCCGGGCGGGGAGGGCAGCGAGCCCGGCGCTGGGGAAGGAGGGAGCGGGAGAGGAGAGGCGGGAGCAGGGGCAGGGACAGAGGCTGAGACAAGGGCAGAAGCTGGGACAGGGGCTGGGGAAGACGCAGGGACAGGGACTGAGGGATGGGGGCGGTGGCTGTGTCCGTGCCGGGGCTGAGGGCACCGGGGCAGTGGGGGAACGTCCTCGGTCCGTGGTCGCGCCCTGCCCGATTCCTGCGCTCTCCCCCGCAGGGCTGTGGGCACAGTGGAGGCTGGAGGAGGCCGGCGGAGGGCACCGAGCTCCCGGGGATTCCGTCCTCCTCTCCTGCCGCGGGTCCGGATTCAACTTTGGGCTTTATGTCGTTCACTGGTACCGTCAGGCACCCGGAGGCAGACCCGAGTGGGTGTCTTCCATCAGCACCGATTCCTCTGTCAGTCGAAACGGGACAGCAATGGAGGGTCGAGCCTTGGTGTCCAGAGACAATTCCCAGTCCAAGTCATCCCTGTCCTTGTGGGCCCTGCAGCCCCAGGACTCTGCCCGATATTTCTGTGCTGTTCCCACGAGGACAGGAAACCCAGCTGAGCTTTAACATAAACCTGCTGGGGGCTGGCACAGGTCCATGGCATTTTGAGATGGAGAATTCTGAGGTGGTTCAGGGCTGTTCCCAAGGAATCAGGGGCCATCACTGTTCTCTGCAGGCAGTTTTGGCCTTTCTTCCAGAGCTTCTTTCCCCAGAATGATAAATGGCATATCCTGAGTCCCAAATACAATGTTTTATTCCATAGAAGTGGTTCAAAGTGCTTCTGTCACCCAGCCAGCCTGGTCATTCTGCCTGGCTCCAGCCCCTCTCTGCCTTCCTTTGATCCCCTTCTTCTATGGGGCACCCAAAGCACCTGGGCTTTAACAACACCTTTGCCTGCTTTCTTTGACCCTTTTGGGCCATCTCCTGGTACCAGGAAGAGCAAAGTAGTGATGGAACAGGCCCGCTTTTCTTCCAGATGCATTTTGGGGTGATGAGATCCAACCAACAAGGTCTGCAGTGTGGTGGCCAGCAGGGATTACTGGGACCTTACAATGCACTTACAGCTCCAACGCCTCCTACATTTACGTGGCCTGGTATCAGCAGTGTCCTGGTGGACCCCTGCAGTACTTGCTGCAGTGCCAGGGCTGTGGAGGCTCCTACAGCCACACAGCCCCTTTTGCCCACAGGAGGTTTTCCTGCCAGGCTGACAAGAGCTCTGGGACACTGAGCATCACCGGGCTGGAGCAGGGGGACAGCGCATCCTATTACTGCAGCCTGGAGGCACCACAGCGAGAGGCACCCGGGGGTGCCTCAACAACATCAGCTTCCTCCCCTGCTGCCTCCCCTCCTGCGTGTTCAGGTGGGACACAGGCCCTGCAAGGGGGGAGTCAGTGAGTGGGCTGTGCCTGCTGTCAGAGAAATGGGGTCTCGTTGTGCCTGGGTGCTCCCAGTGGAGAGGAGGGGAGGGAAGGGCAGGGGAGAGGCAAGAGAAGAGCATTTCAATTGAAAGGGAACTACAATGACCATCTAGTCCAACTGTCTGACTACTTTCAGATTTGAACTAAAATAAAAGCATGTTTCAAAAGAAACTGTCCAAATACCTCTTAAACACTGACAGGCTTGGGGCATTGACCACCTCTTCAAGATGCCTGTTCCAATGTGTTACCAATCTCTGAGTAATGAAATGCTTCCTAATATCCCACCTAAACCTCTCCTGGTGCATCTCTAAACCATTCCCACATCACTGTGTAACATGGAGAACCTCCCTCTCCACTTCCCCTCCTCAGGAGCTGAGAAGGTTGAGGGACCTCCTCACATTTGTTTCCTCCAAGATAAACAAATCCTCCATGGCCTTGGGACCATAGGGAACCTGGCATGTCCTACAATGCTGGAGCAGCCCCAAGTGTCCCAGGGCACCACAGCTCTGCCTGGCCCTGGATCCCCCTGCTTCTTTTCCCAGCCTCAAGCCTCCACTCTCAGTGGGCTCCTCTACCCTCTCCAAGTCCCTTTTCCCACCCCTGTCCTGACAATCCCATCCAAAAGGGACCATGTTCTGTTACCCAGGAAAAGAGAGGGGAAGGAATGGATTCAGACAGTCTGTGCAGGGCCACTGTGGAGTGGGCAATGCTCCCCAAAAGGGTCGTGGCAGCCAGGATGGTGACAGTGTGTCAGGGCTCACAGCTGTCACATCCTGTGGTCACAGGGAGAGCTCTGGGTTCCTGCTGAGTAGAAGGACACAGGGAAGGGAAGTGTCCTGGCTCTGCTAAGCAGCTCCAACAGCCTGGTCCCTGCTGAGCCCTGGGCTGCATTTGCTGCTTGGGGGGTCTGGGAGGGCTTTGAGAGGAAGAGGCAGCTGGAGAAGTGTCATCATGGGGAGGGAGAGGGGTGCTGGGGCAGAGTGGAGGGAGCAGGGTGAGGAGCACTTCTGCCCTAAGGGTGCCCTTTCCAAGTGGAACTGGGATCCTGGGGGTCCCATGTGGGAGCAGCAGCTCAGCAGCAGCAAGGGCCAGGAGCCCAGGGGAAGGACAATGTACCACCCTCCCAGGGGAGCTCCAAAGTCCCAGCAAACCCTGCAAAACTTCCTCGGGGAAAGGTCAGGTTTGCCCCACAGCAGCACCTCACCTTTTGCTCAGCAGAGCTTTTCCTGCCAAATGAACACTCTGTTCTTGCACCCTGCAGGGTGAGAGACACCTGGGAGTGCACCAACAGCTTCAACTTCTGCTCCAGCAGCCCCCAGCTCTCACCCTCCCTGTTGTCAGAGACAGAGGGAGGGACTGGGAGGGACTGGGCCTGAGTGCAGTGACAGAGGCACAGGCAGGGAAGGTGTGGGCAGAGCTGTTCTGCAGGCAGAGAGAAGCTGGAGAGAGGTGAGACAGATGGGCCTGGCCATGTGGACTGTCCTGTGTGGGGGGTTCTTGCCCATTGTAGGTAAGTGAAAGGAAGGGGGGATGCCCCCCAGGAACTGAGCGTGCCCCTGTGCTCTGCACGGCTCTGGGGAGCTGTGCTGACCCCTTGCAGCCTGACCTGTTCCCTGGCTCGACCTGTCCCACCATCCCTGTGGAGCAGGGTGAGAACAGCCCTCCTCCTCTTCTAGCTGGGAGTTCATCACCTCCATCCCAGCTGCCTCCTCTGCAGGGTGGGGACAGCAGGGCACGGCCCTGCTGCACTCAGATCTTGGGCCAGAACACTTTGCACTTGGACTGGACACTCTGCTCATGGGGCACTGCAAACCATCTTGCAAAGCCCAGCTTGAGGATGGCAGCACAGGGCCCTAAGCCCCACTTGCCTGTGAGAGGTCCTTGTCCCTCCTGTGCCCATTTAGATCATTTTCAGGGACAGGTGAGTGGGTCCTCACCATCTAGGAGTGGTCATGGCATGTTCTCTCTCTCTGCAGCAGTCACTGGCCAGATGGCCTTGGAGCAACACCCCAGGGAAGTGACTGTGGGAGAGGGAGATAAAGTCACCTTGCAATGCAGCATGACACAAGGTGTTATGTGGGATTACTACATGTACTGGTACCGTCAGGACCCACGTGGCACTCTGGAATGGATTTACATGGAAGGTGATATCTATGGAGAAGGTTTCCAAGATCACTTTAAGGGATCAGAGGAGAGCTCCGAGAACAGAGTCACACTGCAGATCCTGGCAGCAAAGCCAGGGGATGCAGCAACGTATTACTGTGGAGCAAGAATCACCGTGGAGCAGCTCTGCAGCAGAGTGGAACAAAAACTGACTGACAGGAGGACAGATCTCTCAGCATTTCTTTCTGGCAGCTGCTCCCCAGGGGCTGTTCTTGGGCAACAGATCTCTGGCTTGGTGGCAGTCCAGGCAGTGGAGGGAAGTGTGGTAGAAGGGCTGGTACCATTTATGATGCAGGAGGATCTTTTCTGGGAACTTAAGGGACTGTTTAAGCAAGTGCAGTTTTAGTGCACTTTGCCTGAGCCTCTCTCCAGCACAGCCCCATTTTTCCTCTGTGGCTTGGCCACAGAGCCATGGGATCATGGAGATGTGTTGTGGTATCTTCCAGTTCCAGTTCTGTGGAGGATGGAGCCAGGCTGTTCAGGAAAGACAGAGCAGCAGATGACATTGCTCTGGGTGGCTGCTACAGATCACCTGATCGGGAAGAAGAAGTAGAGAAGGTGTGGTGGTTTGACCTTGTCTGTCCACCCGGTGCTCACCAAAACACTCTCTCAGTCCCCCTCCACAACTGAGCAGGGGGAAAGTTTACAATGAAAGACTTCTGGGTCAAGATCAGGACAGGGAGCTGTCCCAGCAGTTCTCGTCATGGGTAAAGGTATGGCCATGGGGATATGAATTTCATTTATTGTCAATAAAATTAAAGATGGATAATGAGAAATAAGGACAAAGCTAGAAACATCCCCTCACCATGATCAGTGCACTGGGATGGGGAATGGGGCTTTCAGTCAGTTGATAACACATTTTCTCCCCTTTGAACTACTGATACTCATATAGAGTAATGGATCTCTGTGAAAGGTTTCATTAAATCCTCCTGCTTAAAGCAGGGTCAACCAGCAAAGGTGTACTGGTCTGGTTTGGTGGGGATTAAATTTCTCTGTAGCAGCCTGTCTGGGCAGCCTGTCTGGGCAGCTGCTCTGTTTTGTGCCAAACCCATGCTGATAACACAGCAATGACTTAGCAAGTGCTGAACAGTGCACCAAGTCTTCTCTGCTTCTCATATTGCCTGCCAGCTGTACAGCTGACCACAACTGGCCAAGGGCCGATTCCGTACCACATGGCGTTGTGGGGCCGGCAGGTGAGAGCCGGGCGGGGAGGGCAGCGAGCCCGGCGCTGGGGAAGGAGGGAGCGGGAGAGGAGAGGCGGGAGCAGGGGCAGGGACAGAGGCTG